TTATTCACAATTTAAAACAAGGAAGCGATTTGAGACGATTAAACTGTAATCGAGACAGAGAATTGCATTTATGTAATAAGCGAAGACTCTTGACCGGTTCTTATAGGTTAGTTTCAATGAAGCGTAGACCTTTCTGGATATTATGAACATTTTGAGGATTTCTTCCGCATTTAATGCATTATTCGGTTGTTTAGATGATAGAGCGAATAGCAATCGTTGCGAATGTGCATAATTGAAAACATAAATACAAAATAAACATGAAAGTCTGAAGAAAATGGCACTCCTGGCAACAGGTGAGCATTCTTTGTTGGTTGTATATAAAAAAAAGGGAAAACAATCATTATTTATCACTATTGGATACCACGCCTTTCCCTCTCCAGTCATTTATTCATGTAAGCCATCAAACCGATTTGATCAATTTGCGATGTTACATTACTGCAGTAGACCTGACGGTTAGCTTGTGCCAGCTATCGGAGGTCATAGACAACATAACGTGAAAACAACAGCGCATAAAACCACTTTGGCTTTCATTGGATGCTCGTACATTTTTACGATTAGAAATTTAATCATAATCGTCTGCTTAGATATTAATCAACATACGCCTATGTGCCTCCAACTTAGTCACAACTATCACAAGATCGCCTTGTTCTGGTGATTAGCGATCGACTACTTTGCCACTAAGCCCTAGTTTGAGTCTGAGATAGAGCTGAGTAAGGCGGTGAGCTATAATTAATAACGTGCAAATAAACACCAACCGCCAATAGTTCTCAGTCCGTTGAATTGGCCACTGCCCGACACGACCATCGACCTTCTAGGAGAACATTGTGCCCTACCCAGTGCCAGTCCTACTTAGGACTTATAACCAGAAATTTTAAAACTGTTTAAATAACATGGAAAGTTTATCCGAAAATATGGGTATATTGACTTGAAGTCTTAAGCATATTCAGGGGATGTGAAGTCGCTCTAATGGATACGTAAATTACCTTGTCATGTAATAAGGTCGGCACGTTATGTGAAATTGAGTGTGGCCTATTAGGGCTGTCATTTCATGGTTATTTTGTTGAAGAAATCGCATACTGAGCAGACCGTAACGCAGGGAAGTATTGTAGTAAACCTAACTACGTACCTAAATGACGTAATCCTAAGGTGACTCTGAATTAAGCTTCACATGAACTATTCTTCTGTGCTCTGTTCTCTAGATATTTTGGTCGACATCATCGTGGCCTAAATGATACGACAGCCGGGTGTATGTATATTCGTATGACACAACTATGCCTATAAAATCCTGTAATAAGGTTCAACAATAAAACCCGTAACATGTACAGATGTGCGTAATTAGTGGCGATAGAGCATATCGTGAGCCTGCACGGGTGAGTACCAGTTTTCTGCTCGTTTCTGTCGCCAATCAATCAGCCGGCGCGGTAGTGGTAGGACCTCTTGTAAGTCCGCACGGATAGGTAACATCGCCATGCCTATCTCTGCCGTGAAGCAGTAATGCGTTTCGGTTTAAAGGGTGAGGCAGCCGTTTTAACTATACTGAGACCTTAGAACTTATCTCAAGGTGAATAGCGCGTTTACGTTGTAGGTGTCTATGTGCTCCAGTAATCACTTAACACCACCTATCTAAGCAATAAAAAAAAGAAAAAAAAAAGAGGCAGCAGTGAAACAAGAAGTATTAACATTTCGAATGGGCCCTTCAAAGTTTCCGTGCTCTGTAACATGAGGCCATAATAAATTTTAGTCTCATCTTGTTTTTTTGGTTCCGCGTAAAACCGAAAAACTTTAATGCCGTTTCAGATTGATACGATTAAGCGCAGTTACAATTAACGTTACTACGTTTCTATTTCATTCAATCTGAGCTAAACTGAATAGTTAACTAGCTTAATGTTGTCGTAGTAGTATTTGATGCGTTGGGTAAGCATTGCGGTTTTAACCAACGTATTTTATATTTCGAACGTGCAAAATACCGTTGATGTTCGTGATTAGAAAAAAGAATTTCACGCGTACAGGTACCGTAGTAGACTATTTGAATAAACGTACATAAAGATTGTGGCAATAATATGATATTATGTAATGAAATCGCTGGTGACATAAGAGAGTACGCGACGACAGCTATGCGTACTAACGTATTACGGTTTTTCAATAAGTCCTAGTAGAAAATTCATGGGATGTCATAGAACATACAGCCGCCAACTGATAGAAACACGTAGGGTGATGGTGGCGACCACGCTTTCGTGCTAGTACCTTTCTACTAAGTACAAATAATTGAACTCTAATTATGTACTAAAATAAGTAATGACTAATATTTCTCACCTATTTTTTTTATTGCTTAGATGGGTTGACGAGCTCACAGCCCACCTGGTGTTAAGTGGTTACTGGAGCCCATAGACATCCACAACGTAAGTGCGCCACCCACCTTGAGATATAAGGTCTAAGATCTTAAGTATAGTTACAACGGCTATCCCACTCTTCCAACCGAAACGCATTACTGCTTCACAGCAGAAATAGGCAGGGTGGTGGTACCCACCCGCGCGGACTCACAAGAGGTTCTACCACCAGTAATTACGCAAATTATAATTTTGCGGGTTTGATTTTTATTATACGATGCTATTCCTTCACCGTGGAAGTCAATCCCGAATATTTGTTGAGTACGTATTTCATTAGAAAACAGTGCTTCTAAGAGTTTCTAAGAGTGCTTTGTTATATTATAACATAGTAAAAGTTAATTAATTTATTTATTGCATTTATGTATGAACGATCTCACGGCCTACCCGTTTTTAAGAGCATACCGTATATATCAATGCGGATACCGTCACGGCTGACGGTGGAAATGGAAGTTTCGAGAAATGAGATCGGAGTTTCAATTGTATCGGGTAAAAGTTGTCACAGTCTTTGGATGAGATATAATAACTGCTTTGCGACGGAAACTTTTGAACAACTACTGTATGTAATTGCAATTATTTTTTTACATCAGTCAGGCAAGCAGTATAACTCGCGAGAATGTAAGGTACTATGTATGGGAAATACAGTAAAAGTCACTATTGCAATGTCAAGTCTTTAAAACCTGAAGACGCGAAATTCAAACTTTTTATAATGCACTAAAGTGATCGTAATCATAGTCGTAAATTACACTAACTACGACTTTGATTTTTCTTTGTCGTAACTGGCAACAAGGTTATAATTAGATGATTGATTGATGATTGAATGATTGACTGATGAAGAATAAATTAATTTATTTAGGCCTATCAATAAAAACATTTTAAATGAAGCAGTTAAATATTAGAATTTCTATGTTGTGAGTACTGGAAACACTGACATGAGATAAAAGCAAATATAATTAGACATCGAACAGATAATCTTTAACAAAGATACAGACTCCGAGAGTACAGTAGTAAAGGTTATTGTACACTAGACGTCATTTCGGGTCCTCCCAGGGTTCGGCGAGTAAACTAACCCATAAGCACAGCCAACTGAGTTTCTCGTCGGATCTTCTCAGTGGGTCGCGTTTCCGATCCGGCGGTATATTCTGCGAAGCGCTGGTCTCGCTACTGTTAGCAACGCCTCCACGTTAGAGCCCCGAGAGCTCACCTATTCGCTTGGGTACGCTGGCATAGCCTCTCAATGCTACCAGCTTAGGTAGTAAAATAAAATTACACTAGACAAATCTGCTTTAGTAGACGGGCTGTAAATAGCACGTGCTTGGGGTGCACGTAGCTAAAATTGTTCCATTCCATTTTCATAGATCAGCCTTTCCCGAAGTGGGCGATAACGCCCCCATGTGGGCGCTGCAGGCCTAAAGGGGGGCGGTAAGAGAACAAAAAAAAAAGGGACGTTGTATAGAGGCTTGGAAGGCAATTTGTAATTTCATCTAGGAAGACCCTTAGACTCCGACTGAGCTCTCGCTATAGTGGTTTTTAAGTACGTGAAAAAATGGAGGCGTTAAAAATAATTTATTCCCAAAGTGGGCAGTAGACAAAATAAGTTTGGGAACCCCTGTCATAGATGGATGTTTTTTCCATGCTAGCTTCTTAAACCTAGCGGTTTCGCTCGGTTAAAAGGTAAAGATGTAAAAAGGTGGTTCATATATTTCTACAAAATTAAATATTTAAAGAAACAAAAAAAATCACTTTCGCATTTATAATCATGGACAGTTAAATGTAACGGTTTCTTTTACTTTACATTAAATCGTTAATTAGTGAATGACGTTTTCATATCTTAATTAATCAAAAACGAAATTACAAATTTATTAAAGCAACATTACGAAAACTAGCTTAGGACCGTTGTTTTATGAATTTGATTATCTTATGTTTTTCGTGTATTTCGTTACATTAAATTTGAAAATGATTTAAATCAGCACTAGCACAAAAAAAACATTCGCAAAGCAAAAACACAAATAATCACCTACCAAAGTGCAAATGAAAACATAAAAAATTAAAATGCATCAAAAAAAAAAAAACAAGTTTGTCAACTATAGACCCAACCACTGGATCAGTCTAACCTGACAAGAAGAACTTAATATCAAATTATTTTCATCCGCACGTCACTCTTAATTCGATACCATGCACTAAATACACCCAAAACTGTACACGGAATTCACCCCACCTTCAAACCCAACCGAATTTAAATAACACCTTTCAATTAGCAGTAACGGTATCGAATAAAGCCTTTCTAAAGCGACCGGGTTTAACGGGCTAGTAGGGATGCATCAGGGGGCTAGATTACGCAATGTATCTTAGCCGGCAACGGTCACTATATATAAGCTGGTAAAGCATGCTCAATGCATAGAAAGTACTGACAACAGACCAAGTGTATTACTGAATCAGTCCAGCGGAAACAAGCAAGATGTACGCTAAAATCGCCGTGAGTGAATTATTTACAAAAAATAATAATAAGAATAATAACGAATTAGAGATGGGACTGCAGTGATATTAAAAAATAATTACTTTAATAGCAGTGTTTAGTGTTGCGGTTTTTAAGTTATTTTTGTGTATCTTTTTCAGCTCATCTCACTCGTGGTTGCCGTAGTGGTCGCATCCCCTACACCCGGAGGCGGCGGCGGACAGTACGTATTTATTATTATTTCACATTCAATTTAATCCATTTCATGCTTAGAGCACCTTTAGAATCATATATAACCTAATAGAGCTTTTAGAATTAAATTACAATAATGAAAATTCAATTTAACATTTTGTTAAAAAAAAATCGTCGCGTTGTTCAAAAACGAATTGTAGCAAAAGTTCGCAGAAAGTCAAAATAGTATCGACATTGAACTTCATTACACGTAACAGCAGCCAGTGTTCAATTAACGATTATTTAAAAGAAAAAATCTTTCGACAGAAAACAATCGAATTATGTAAGCGAAGGCCGTAGCCGAAGCCGATTATGTCTTGCTATTTTCGTAATCTAGTTTTTGGTCTAGATTCACCATATACATATATTAAGTGTATTATATTAGCAGATCTGCAATAACGTATGCAGCTGTGTTTCTCAATATTTTAATTAATGGCATGAATGTGTGTTAATTAGGCATTAAATTATTCAAGATTAAGGTCAATCAAAATTGATCTTTTTTTTGGTTTTTAATCAACAATTTTAATTAAAATTGTATTGATAAACGTGATACGTAATCATCTATTTTATAAAGAATTTTAGTGAGAGCTATTATTTTTTATTAATGCAAGGTAATATTGTAGAAAGCCCAAGAAATAGTGGAGTAGAGCGTATGACCTCATCTGCATAATTACGAAAGAAAATTACGGAATTAATGAACGCACAAAACAAACCTCTCATTATTGCACCCCGCTTCTTATGTAACTGAGCTCGTGTGTTGAGTTACTAAAGCGTGCTTGATATATAGCGTCATTTATAATAAGCATTCAATTAAAAAAATAACTGCCGCCAATAAATTACATCGCGTTTTTTTTTTATGAACGAAACTAAATTCAAAAGTTGTAATCTTAAAGTTGTTTAATTCTTTTTTTTATTGCTTATATGGATGGACGAGCTCACGGCCCGCCTGGTTTTAAATGGTTACTGGAGCCCATAGACATCTACAACGTAAATGCGCCACCCATCTTGAGATATAAGTTCTAAGGTCTCAGTATAGTTACAACGGCTGCCCCACCCTTCAAACCGAAACGCATTACTGCTTCACGGCAGAAATAGGCAGGGCGGTAGTACCTACCCGCGCGGACTCACAAGAGGTCCTACCACCAGTAAAAAAATTAAGTAATGCATAGATTTTGATAAGATAAGATTAGGAAATTGAAACTATTTTTTCGATTTCGATCACGCATTTGCATTTTTATTTTGTTATTCTCGACGTTTCCAGCAGATACTAAACGGGTTCCGTGGTCGCGGACGGCTGTAGTGTTATTCGTCGACATTTGATTATTGGGAGCATCTCCTGTGTGTTTTTTAAATATAAAAACTATTTCTTGCCTTTTAAGTTTCTTTTCGCACGACAATACTCACCGAGCTAAGAATACGTTAAGAATACTTGATCTCGTTCATCGAGTCTGTCGTCATGTAAGTCTTAATCGAATATACGGTGCATTTAAGTACATATTTACATTAAAGTAAAAGGCAGAGACAGTCAGATCTTATATAAGAAGGTGAGACGGGCATTGGAATTTCGGTTTTTTTTTGTTGTTATATGAAATGTTTTAATGATATTTTCAAGTAGATACTTTTGTGGATGATATTTAGTTATTACCAAAAGGCATCACAGTGCTTACTCTCAACATCTACATTGAAGTCTGACTGCCGTATTGACATTAAAACATCACTTTGTTTTTGGGAAATAAAATTACCACATATAAATGACTGACTCGGTGATGCAATAGTTAGTCTGTGATTGTGGCGCTGATAATCGTGGGTTCGATTCCCACATCGATGAAGAGGCTTGTTTGCTCTTTGTCTACGTGCTTATTATCTTTATATGTGTATATTTAAATGTATATAAGCATGTATGTCAGCCATTGGTACCCATTGATAACATAGGTATTCCTAATTTGGGGGCGGATGACCGTGCGTGATTTATTCCCAGTTATTTATTATTTAGTTATTTATTATAAATTTGATTTGAAAAGTTGAAATCATATCTGACCGTTATGTGTCTAATGTGGAGATAAATTTTCCCTTCATTAATCCAGGAAGCAAGTGAATCACATTCTGCCATTGTTTCTATTGTGTACAAAGTTAAATAAATTACTAACAAATTACTGTCCAAATTAGATAGTTTCTTAATTCTGTGTTCGTAAAATTTCCTCCCAACTTTCTTAAGCTAAGCTTCACAATACGACTCCTAGCTCTCTGTTGTAAACGTAATCAAACGTGCGTTCCTTTTTATTTTCATTTAATCTATGTTATTTGTAGTGAAAGTTCAATTGACTTTGTTTACCGCCGGCTTTAGATTTACATCTAACTACACGATAAATCGTATCGGCTATATACGGGTGTGCCCTTAATAATTAAATGGTTCGAAACTACAATTTGTTAAAACTGCTCCCAAACTTTGTTATTTCGATATAACAGCTATATTTTCATGCAAACTAGTACGCATTAATTTACAAACACCAGAAATTTGTTCGTTATATTTAGCGGAATAAAAACACTACAAATCTCAAATTCTTCTAAACGTGGAATAAGATTATTTTTTTAAAGATGGCTCAGCTTATTGCAATCGTCTGACTGTTATAAACTGTGAAGCGATATATTACGATTTCAACGTTCTCTGCTTGCTTGAATACACTTTTACTACACATCATTGTCTACTGCGCATACCTGTCTAAAGCTGTATTGATAATTATGTCATTGGTTCTCATGAAAATTCAATATAAATCCAAAGAAAACATATCATTTGCGAAAAATCATATCCCCTCGATAGGCGTTTTGGTTTAACCGACATTTCTACAACTTTACAGGAGATAATTTAAATTTTAAAATTTAGAAAAAAAATTCGTTTTTTTTTTTTTTTTTTTTTTTTTATTGCCTTGATGTGTGGACGAGCTCACAGCCCACCTGGTGTTAAGTGGTTACTGGAACCCATAGACATCTACAACGTAAATGCGCCACACACCTTGAGATAGAAGTTCTAAGGTCTCAGTATAGTTACAACGGCTGCCCCATCCTTCAAACCGAAACGCATTACTGCTTCACGGCAGAAATAGGCGGGGCGGTGGTACCTACCCGTGCGGACTCACAAGAGGTCCTACCACCAGTAAAATCGTATGAAAAATCTTCTTCAGCCATTTGAATGTAGTAAACTTAATTGAAGTTCAATTAAAAACACCGAACTGTTGATTACAATACCAAATAAAACGCACCTTTAATTAGAAATATAAATGTGGTGTATTAATCGAAATATCACGTAAATCCTTTCACCCCTCGATATGTACTAAACATTACGTTGCATTACATCACTTGCAAAAGTAACGATGGAATTTTCGCGAAAGTGTCAACTTCACTGCGATCCGGTTTATGGAGAATCGAAAAATAAATACAGGTTCTCTCTGATCATACAAAAACTTATCAGCCTTTAGCAAGAACTATAACTCTAAACTATATTTGAGTCGACTATTATCAAAGCCGGCAATGTGACTTTTGGACAATTATTGGTAAATCAGAAAAACGAATTATTGACTTTGTATTCCGTTGGCAGTCACAAAACTCTTCTGAACGACATCTTAGATAAATAACAGGTTAAGCATTAACCTTTATTTAATGCAGTTTTTGAACCGTATTCTTTGAAGGAGACGATTATATTCAAATCAATCTGTATTGACATATCAATAACATTTTTTTGTCCAAATGCACAGATTGCCACCTTTGATAATAGACGACTCATTTGTCTATTGTGACTTGTATTATAAGATGCGGTTTTTTATTTTTTATGAATGAGGGATTACTGGTGGCCCGGGGGCCTCTCCAGTTTTACCAAGACAGGTGGGCGAGCAGAGCGGCTCAGCCAAGAGGGGTGGGATTAGCTAACAGTTGCCCGAGCGCCTCCAAAAGAGACCTAACAACTCAAGGGCAGCTGCTTCGCGAATGAATCTACTACCGGATCGGACCCGCTGAGAAGATTCGGCAGGAAACTCAGCGGGCTGTTTAGGTTACGTTGCACATCGAACTCTTTGTCGAGTTCGACAAGTACGGTTACCGGGGTCCCTACTCCTAGTGTTAGAGCTAAAGGCGTCTAATACAAGGGTTTAGTTGCGGTAAAGACGGCGGTTTATAATCTTGAAGTCTACTAAGTTGCTCATATTTATTACATTTTGGTTATGTGTGACTTGACTGATAGTATTGCCCACAGTCTCATTGGCTGCTAGGACTCTTTTCCGCACGGAGTCATCAGCGTGTACTGTGAAACGTGTTATGTAGTATCAAATTGAGTATCATTAGTATTTAGTATCAAATTCATAAGGTCTTTATTGCTTCGTACTTTTTAAGCACACACAAGTACACCTATGGACCTCATTGAACACATTAAAGTTAACATCTTCGATTTTTCTTTCAACAGCAAACACGTGACCATCCACGTTCCCTACAAGATCCACACGATCCACCACCACCACGTGTCCAAGGTGCACGTTCCAGTGCACGTGCCTGTAATCAAGGAAGTCCAGGTCATCAAGGAGGTGCCCATCATCAAACACGTGCCGGTGCCCATCGTTAAGCACGTGCCTTTCCCCGTTGTGAAACACGTGGAAGTCGAGAAGAAGGTGATCGTGCCGGTCCACCATCACGAGCACCATGAGCACCATGAAGAGGAACAACACGGGTGGGAAGGCGAAGCGTTACACGGCTGGAACTGATTTTATCAAAGAAAATTCATCATAGCTTAAGGTCGGTTTCGACAAACATAAATTTTGAATATTTCTTTTCAATTAGCATTTGCTTTATCTAAAACTAAATCTCGTTTATTTATCTCAAATAGTAGGAATAGTAACAGAATATATGTATATGCTATTTATGTTATGATAAGTAGGTACATATTATTTTAGTAAATCAATTAGAGACCAGAGACATTTCCCACCAAGTCATACAGTTTTTTTGTTGTACTCTAGAACTCATACTGCTGTGAGCAATTAGAATCCGCCTCAACTTAAAAATAGCTTCGTGTCCACTGTCTAAACGTGTAATAGGAACTATTGACGTCACAAAAGGCAATTTTTAGACGATGATTTGGAATAACTATAAGATAGCAGACGTTAACCTAGGTTAACAAGTTTATTGTATACCAAAACAATATCTTACATGCGTAAACCAACAAATTGAAAATGAGTCTTATATAAATTATATTTCTATTTAACCGTTAGACCTTAGAACCCCTAGTCTCGAGGTGGTTGGCAGCATTAACGTTAAGTCTAGGGACTCCGGTCCGGTCCGGTAACCATTTAACACCAGGCGAACTCTGAGCTCGTCCACCCATCTAAGCAATAAATAACAACCTACTGTTACTACTGAATTACTAACAAGACGATGTTTTTCGTCTCTAAAGTCATTGCCTTAAATACTATTTTCGTTTTTCAGATACACTAGGTCAATCACACGTCATCACAAATCGATCGAGCAAGGATCGGTTGCTTCTTCATCATCATCATCATAATGTAAATAGAAAAATCGAATAGCTATTGCTAGAAGAGGCTAACTAAATACATTCAGTTGAAAACAATGTTATAACTAATAATAATAATAAAATATTAGCATTATTTTTAGCTTAAACCGCTAAAATAATGCAACGGTATACGCTTTAAAGACATGTTTTAACAATATTCGTTTTCCACCGAATGTGATTTCACGACATCAGTTTACGAAGTATAATATAAATCTGTTTTTAAAATGTTACTGATTTCATTTTAAAAAGTTGACACTTAGGTATTGGCTAACGAACGCGACAAAATAAAATTGAAATATAAAGCCATTATAAAGAAATTATCAGTAAATGCCAATAAAATATTCAACATTAAAAAGACGTCACTAGTTCAAAGAATAAAAAAAATTTTTAAACTATTTGTAATCATACCAATATGAAAACGTTAAGATACTCTGTGACATTTCGATTTAATCTGTATATTGGTATAGAATATGCAATCCTACCAAGAAATTTAATTAAAAGAAGAAATTCATATATGTACATTTTGGCTCATTGCAATTTTTTTTAATGCTATAATGATACCTACATTTACTCGATTGTCAACGAATGTAAGGTTGTATGTTTTGTAAACTGTTCGTCCACTGTAATTGTTATATTCATTTTATAGTTACCATGTTTGTTAAATGTATATAACCAAAGAGAATAAATGGAGTGGTTATATTAAAAAAAATGTATTTTTATTAACATTGTCGCGACTCCTGCTTCCACTACGCAAGTTTATAGACAGCTTTATAACTCAAATATTAAGTGTATTATCTATGGTTTTGATACCTTTGATGAAATGTTTTAACAATTCCTGTAAACTGTTTTTTTAAAGTGTTATATCCGTTTATTATTCATTTGTTAGAACACCACAAGTTACTACTGAAACTAATTTGTAATTTAGTTTTGTCTTGAATTCACATCAAACTTCAACAATATAATATCTTTTGCAAGCTATTTTGGTATTGAGCGGCATCTGTGGTTGTATTACTATGATCAGGCCTACTATCGAGAAGTGGTCATGCTTACCTGTTTGAAGGGCGAGTTTTCCATGGTCAATCTTTTAAGCTCATGTCGTAAGGCGGATGGTGGACATTCACGTAATTATGTCTATGATCTTGAAGAAACATTTAGCCCATTAAAAACGTTACGCTTATACATATGATCCGAAGCGAAGTGACCCGATAGTCTAAGTTGAAGCAAGTTTTTTAACCGACTTGAAAAAACGGAGGAGGTTCTCAATTCGACTGTGTGTGTGGTTTGTTATGTCATAACTTTTGACAGGGTTAATCGATTTTAATGATTCTTTTTTTTATTAAAAAGCTGACGCTTCCCTCGTGGTCCCATTTCCAATTCCATATCCATGAGAAAACCATATTATAAGTCTTAAATTTGCATTAAGTACGTGCGCGACAAATAGATGAATAATTCAATATCACGCCAACCAATTTATTGTTGTTGTTGTTAATTGTGTATATTAATTTGTTTTGGAATATCTTTTTTTTCAATGTGAAGTCGGTTTTCATTGATGCATGTCTATTTACAATTATATAAAAATTCAATGACCACTTCCTGGAATTTATCATATATTATAGGTATTATAGGAAAGATGAAAAGTACTCAGACACCAAATACCGAATATCCTTAGTCCGAGTCTTCCAATCAGGGTTTCGCATCTCTAAAACAGCGACGCGATCGAAATAGTGGTAAAACATAATTTTATCCGTGGTTAAAGTCTTCGCTCTCTGGAGGCGTTAGATGGCTTTTGTTTTCACTTTCACTTACTATGTCTCGGGTAAGGAAAAGTAGGTAGGTACTATGCGCGTAATTCACTACATGGCGTTTTGAATCAAGTAATTACGTATTGCGTTTATCCTTACGTAGGTACTTATAAATGAACCAAATCGCGACTTAAATTTCATAGTTTTATTCCTTGAAGCCATAGTCGACATTACCAATTACATTTATTGTACTTATGATAGGATTCGTTGGGTTTAAGTTACTAAAGATTGAAGCTATAATGCTTTTATGGTTCGATTTCGTGTTTTTATTATAGTTTAATTATTTAGTGACATAGATCAAGTTACGCGAATCACAAATTTCAAAAAAATCAGGGTTATACCGTAAAGTAGCTCACAAACACGTTAGATAATATAATATCGTCGTCGTGGCCCAAAACTTAAGAAGTCCGATGCATTCGTAACTACCGATGCACCGGTGTTCGATTCCCGCAGGCGGGTACCAATTTTTCTGATGAAATACGTACTTAAAAAATTATCACGATTGACTTCCACGGTGAAGAAATAGCATCGTGTAATAAAAATCAAACCCGCAAAATTATAATTTGCGTAATTACTGGTGGTAGGATCTCTTATGAATTCGCACGCGTAGGTTCCACCACCCTGCCTATTTCTGCCTTGAAGCAGTAATGCGTTTCGGTTTGAAGGGTGGGGCAGCGGTTGTAATAGCAGCAGCGTTTGATTAGTTGTATTTTAGTAGTTGTTCACCTACAGAACCTAAGAAATAAAAGTTCAAAAATTTTAAAACAACTACTATATCTGTCTTAAAGAATAGCACATTAATTCGTATGACGTAAATGAGACGATGCTGGTTATCTGAGCCTTGTAAATCGTGATCTTCCAACCTCTGAACATTCCTCGTATACCGTCCTCTCTGTACATGTTTACGAGGCAGTCACTCAACGAGGTGCACTTCATCAATTCCTTAGAAACGGGCTGATTCACGGACCTGTAGCTCTGAAAGATAAATTTGCGTTTCAAGAAATATAATAATATTTAAATTATTCTCTATATAGTGGCTGTGAAGCTAAAGTTTTTTTTTTTGCTTAGCTGGGTGGACTAGCACACAGCCCACCTGGTGTTAAGTGGTTACTGGAGCCCATAGACATCCACAACGTAAATGCGCCACCCACCTTGAGATATAAGTTCTAAGGTCTCAAGTATAGTTACAACGGCTGCCCCACCCTTCAAACGCGTTACTGCTTCACGGCAGAAATAGGCGGGGTGATGGTACCCACCCGCGCGGACTCACAAGAGGTCGTACCACCAGTAAGACGTAAGACGTAAGACTCAAGTAGACGTGAAGAGCTTCCACGTTGATGAGCAGACTTCCTCTCCGTCTCGGAAGACGGCAATTAAAATAACATTTAAAAATAAAAACATAAGGCCTTCCTTAACCAATTACATTAATTAGGTGACAGTCGGTTCTAATATATATAAATATGTTCAGATACTTCAAAGTTATGAAATTGACAAACATTAAATGAACCCAGAAAAATATACATTGCTTTTAGGCCCATATGGTATAAAGTTGAAATTCGCATACTCGTACCATCATCATCATCATCAGCCTTTATCTGCCCACTGCTGGACATAGGCCTTCCCCAATGGCTTCCGCATAATGCGATCCTCCGCCTTCCGCATCCAACGACTTCCCGCCGTGCGCACTAAGTCGTCAGTCCACCTGGTTGGAGGACGCCCCACGCTCCTGGTACCCATACCCTGGTACTCGTATGCTCGAACAAAAATGAACCGATCGTGTGATTAATAAAGAAACAATATAATTTGTAGAGGCTTCTATGTTTTGTTCTTATTTGGTTAAATACGCATATTTTTTACTGGAGGTCTTAAAGTGGATTTTCGTAATTGTAGAAAGTTCCCAATGCTTAAAGCTGTTAATAAAAAGTAAGAAGATGACAACAGAAGATATTATATCGCTATAAACGCTATTAGTGTTAAGTAATATCGTTTAAAAGCTATAAAAGAGGTAAACCAGATTTTTTTTTTGTTTTCATCACGATGATCCTTGTCCTTCCATAATATAATTTTTTGGATTGTTATCACTTCTTAATACGTATGCAAAATTTTTAAGAGTTATACGGACATGGCAATGAACAAGGCTATAATTATTACGTTGAGCGATACAACGTCACATATTTAAATATGCTATGACATGTCCGTCTTCAAACGAGGCTTGCGGAGAGTACTTTATGGTAGGCAGCGGCTTGGCTCTGCCCCTGGCATTGCTGACGTCCATGAGCGACGGTAACCACTTACCATCAGGTGGGCCGTATGCTCGTCTGCCTACAAAGGCAATAAAAAAAAATAAAAAAAAAATGCGATAATGCAAGCCGAGCAGGTCGAGAAAAGCCGCAACTTTGTTATGCCACTGGCGTTGCTGATGTCCATGGCCGACGGTGACCACTCACCGTCAAGAAGGTCATAGGCTAGTCTCCCTACAAAGACCATAAAAAAAGCTAATAAGAGCGTGGCAAGAGTAGTGTATCACTATTCGGGCGGGAACCGATGAATAACGTTTGTGTGGATAAACATCTTATGTCAAGTTTTCTCTTTGTTCACATCATAAGAAATTAAAATTTATCAAAATGCATTCGATATTAAACATATTCACGTCCACATGCGTATGTCACGTAATTATGTACATTTGTGTACAGCTAAAAACAAACCATCGTTATAAAAAAAGAGTTTATGTGGAAAACGGTAGGCAGCGGCTTGGCTCTGCCCCTGGCATTGCTGAAGTCCATGGGCGACGGTAACCACTCACCATCAGGTGGGCCGTATGCTCGTCTGCCTACAAGGGCAATAAAAAAAAATCCCAAAAATACAAAGACAGGAAATATGTAAATGAATCTTATTTTACCTAGCGAATTTGTGAGTTCAATGACCAGCAAAATAAAAATGTCTACCGCGCGTCAGCTGTTTTGCTTTAAATTCGATTTCATCTTTCAGAGTGGTTAGCGTTAATCACGTTGTGCTAAGTTCCGGTATCACATACCAACAGGTCGGCTTTGAGCCCGTTCACCCATTTAAGTAAAAAAAATATCTACCGTTTTCCTTTTAAATTAATAAATGCGCAATATCAATTTAGTATTCTCATATTAAGAAGACACAATGAGAGCGAGAAATGAGCCGGCCCATTTAAATATATCGTTAAAAATAGCTGTTACTTTTGTAAAGAAACTCGTTTTTGCATTGTGAACTCTGTATCCGTATAGTACTCGTTTAAGACATCACTAGGAGATCCTACCACGTGTTTCTCGAGAAATCTTATCTGGAATTAATTTCTTCTTCTGAGTCGGTCTCTTCATTACTAAAGGTCGTGTCTAATATAAAATGTGGACCACTCGATGCACAATGTTTCCTCACGTCTTCCTGTCTTCGGTGGTCTTTATAGCTTCGGTTATTGGCAGGCCGGTGAGCGTCTTAACCAGATCAGACCAGCGGATAGGTGAGCGTCCGCGTGATCTTCTCCCGTCAACCTGACCAACTACCATCAGCTTCTCCAAGTTATCGGGGCCTCTACGAGCGATGTGGCCGAAGTACGCGAGATACGTTGGAAGCAGATAGCGGACAGCCTTGTGGCAATACCGAGCTCCTTCAGAATGGACAGGTTGGTCCGGCGTGCTGTCCATGGAATTCGCAACATCCGTCCCTAACACTGGTGGTAGGACCTCTTGTGAGTCCGCGCGGGTGGGTACCACCACCCTGCCTATTTCTGCCGTAAAGCAGTAATGCGTTTCGGTTTGAAGGGTGGGGCAGCCGTCGTAACTATACTTGAGACCTTAGAACTTGTATCTCAAGGTGGGTGGCGCATTTACGTTGTGGATGTCTATGGGCTCCAGTAACCACTTGCTCCCGGTTCCGACTGTATATCTAACCGCGTTATTAAACTTCTACCCGTCCAACTCATCGTGATGTTGGCATCTATTTTCAATGCCGCTATGGCGAACTGTATCTTTCCCGCGGTGTGGAAAGAAGCGGACGTTATCGGCATACATAAACCCGGTAAACCAAAAAATCATCCGACGAGCTACCGCCCGATTAGCCTCCTCATGTCTCTAGGCAAACTGTATGAGCGTCTGCTCTACAAACGCCTCAGAGACTTCGTCTCATCCAAGGGCATTCT